TCTTCCTCCACTTTATGTGGGACACCACCACAGCATGGCCTGACAAGCAGTGCGTTGGTGTGCGCCCGGGATCCGAACCCAGGCCGCCAGCAGCGGAGAGCACACACTTAACCGCTACGCCACAGGCCGGCCCCTCTTAGCTCTATTTTCAATTTTTAGCTTTTCGAGGTAAAAGCTAGAGGAGGAACAGTAGGAATTGGTCCGGATTCAATGATCTTTGTGCCTGGGTCACAGGGTAGGAAGCTCTGGAAGTTGTTTCAGCAACTTCTCCTTCATAATCTGGTCAGTTGGAGACAATTTTGCCTTTTTCCAAATTTTTCTCTTTTCTAAGATCTCTCTGTCTTCTCTTGCAACCATTCACCTGACCCCTAAACTCTTTTGCTGTTCACTGGCTTATGCTCATAAATCAATTGATGTGACTGAATGATAAATATAATGATTACTTCAACAAATAATTGAGTACCTACTACATACTAGATAAGCAGTTTTCAAATGTTTTGGTCTCAGGACTCCTCTATATGTTTAAAAATTATTGAAGACCCCCCAAAAGCTTTTGTTTATATGGGCTATATTTATAATATTTACCAGATTAGAAAGTAAAACTGAGAAAATTTTAAGCTATTAATTCATTTGAAAATAGCAACAATAAATCCATTATATATTAACAACATCTTTTAAAAAATGAAAAACAGGGGCCAGCCTGGTGGCGTAGTGGTTAAGTTCGCCTGCTCCGCTTCGACGGCCCCGCGTTTGCAGGTTCGGATTCCAGGCATGGACTTACTCACCGCTTATCAAGCCATGCTGTGGCAGGCAAGTCACATGTTAAGTAGAGGAAAATGGGTATGGATGTTTGCCCAGGGCCAATCTTCCTCAGCAAAAAGAGGAGGATTGGCAACAGATGTTAGCTCAGGGCTAATCTTCCTCACCAATCAACAACAACAACAACAACAAAACAAAAAAAAGACAAACAGCTATATATTCAAAACAAAAAAATTTAGTGAGAGGAGTGGCATTGTTTTATGATTTTGCAAATCCCTTTACTGTCAGGCTTAATACAAGACAGCTGGATTCTCATGCCTGGATCTGCATTTAATCTGTTGCTTTGGGGTTTGTGTTAGTTTCCTGGGGCTGCTGTAACAAATTACTACAAACTTGGCTCAAAACAACAGAAATGTATTCCCTTATAGCTGTGGAGGCCAGAACTTCAACATCAGTTTGACTGGGTGGAAATCAAGATATGGGCAGAGAAGTGCTCCCTCTGGAGGCTCTAGAGGAAAATTCATTCCCTGCCTCTGTCAGTTTCTGGTGGCTGCCGGCATTCCTTAATTTGTGACTGATTGGTTCCAATCTCTGCCTCTATCTTCTTATCGATTTCTCTTTCGTGTGTGGTGGCTAATCTCCCTCTGCCTCTCTCTTACAAGGACATTTGTGATGGCATTTAGGGCCCACCGAGATAATCCAGGATAATCTCTTTATCTCAAGATTCTTAACTTAATCACATCTGCACAAATTTTACTATATAACTTAACATTCACAAATTCCAAGGATTAGGACGTGGACATATCCTTGGACGCCATTATCAGCCTACCACAGGGTTGTTATTTTGTTTGAAGTTTATGAAAAAGCCTGGTCTCACACAGATACGTAGTTTGGGGGAAAAAGAGAGTATTTGAATAGCCTTTTCAAATAATTGTGGATATTCTTCTTTGATACGCCAAAACTCAACAAGTAGTTGTTGCAATGTGGAATGTGAAAACCTATCAGGGAACTCTTTGTACTGGGTTACATTAAAATCTTTGGTCTATATGCACTTTAAATGGATCTTTAGTCCATGCATAATTAATAACATCATGCATTGATCATTTGGAAAATATTGGTTCACTGAGTTATACATATCTTCCAAATGTTGACACATTTAATTATACAATATAAAAATACCACATTCATTAATATCACTACCAATCTTATCAGAACAGTCCTTATATATTGGGAAATTATCACATTTCTGGTGGTAGATACACATTTTTCAAAATTCTAATTTTGAAAGGTTGGCAAGAAATACTGTCAGTTATTTTCCTGGAAGTGACAGACTCACTGTTCATTTTCAAGAAAACCACAGTTTCCTCATCATTATTTCCATTGAAAATTGTGTTCCGTGAAGAAAAGTGGCTAGTGCAGCTTTCACGTCAAACACCTGCACAAGAGCTTTTCCTTGAGAAACCTGGTTGTGCATCGGAACTGCTTTCTATGTATTTCCCATTTTGTCACACACAATATTTACAAGGATTGTACTGAAGTGTTGCCATTTAATAAAATTAAGAATTCTCACTGCTTCACTAAAGATATTCTTGGGGGAAAAATTTTTTTTCTTCTTTTTTTAACTGTGAGTGTCTGGTGGTGAAGAGTACAGTTTGGAGCCTCTGCCTTGATTTGTACCAAGGTGCCAGCGGTTTTGGCCAGTATTGCTTTCACACGATTAGTGCAAATATCAGTACAGTTGTTCCAGGATAAACTATGAGATTAAAAAATTGTTCTTTATATCAGCACCACTTGTGTTTATTGCCACGCATTTCTATAAAAGATCTTCAAGTATTTGTTAGTGCTGACACTGGACAGATACAAGCAAAGCAACAAGTCTAACTACAACCATAATGATATAATTTTTGTCCATCTTAAAGGCAGTATAATTCTGCAGATGAGATGTTAACTCAGTCTTTATGTTTGCAACTAAATTTCTACTTTGGTGAGTTACTGCATCTTTGGAAAGTAGCACTGCCATGATTTCTCTGACTGATATTTCACTTAGCAGGCATTCACTCAGTAACGTACAGGCGTTATTAGTCTCTCAGCTTTCAGATGCTCTTCTCCAGCCAGTGCAATACGATAATTGAACCTGTAAGATGCTTCAATGGGTTTTTCATTTCTAGTTTGAAAAGTGGCAACAAAAAAGCTTTGGCTTTTAAAGAGCTTATCATGTTTAAAATATTCAATTCCCTTTCCTTTAAACTCTGAATGATTGGTCTCAAAATGATGCCTCAACTTAACTGGCACCATAATAGTATTTGAAAATGTTCTGTTGACTAAGACAAATAAGGTAAATTATTAACATCTCTAAAGCCAAAGGAAAAAATGAAGTTTTGCCATACTTTCCTTTCTTATTTACAGTTTCACCCAGGTTCTTCCCTTTACCTGAGTCAGAGAAGCCTCTGATATTGATGTCAATATCTTTTTCAGCATCTTTAGATATGGGAGGATTAAGAAAGCAAGTGGTCTAATCTCCCTTTTGTAAGCCAATGAAAGATCCTAAAAATTCAACAAAAAATTATAAACAAAATTTTATTTTAGAATAAAATATTAAATTCCAAAAGAATAACAGTTTTAGATAAAATTTAAATATTTAGGGGCCGGCCCCGCGGCTTAGCGGTTAAGTGTGCGCGCTCCGCTGCTGGCGGCCCGGGTTGGGTCCGGGTGCACACCAACGCCCCGCTTCACTTATCAGGTTGTGCTGTGGCAGTGTCCCATATAAAGTGGAGGAAGATGGGCACAGATGTTAGCCCAGGGCCAGTCTTCCTCAACAAAAAGAGGAAGACTGGCAGATGTTAGGTCGGGGATGGTCTTCCACACACACACACACACACACACACTAAACAAATAAATAAATAAACTTTAAAAAAAATTTAAATATTTAGAAAAGTTTTCAATAAATTAAAAAAATTCTTGCAAAACAAGTCAACAAAATGGGCTTTTGTGTTTCTGCATAGGTACAAGGACAATTTAGGGATTTCAAAAAAACATTTATTGTACAATTAATGAGGTTACAGAGATTAGGCATAAGTGAAGATAGCCTGAAAGAGCACACTAGAAGTACCAAAAACAAACTGAGTTAATCTCTGAAAACGTGTATATTTATACCCTAAACCTTAGAAGGTTCTAGAAAACACAAGAGTACTCAAGCATACATTTCACCAGCCAATAGAGCGATTGTAAATCATCTGTTCTCTTGAAAATTCTCTGTACACTCCCAAGAGGATGCGAGTGAAAACAGCAAATAACATTTAAGTAATATTATGAATATAGTTTTGACTTTGTGGATGCCCTGGAAGGGTCTCAGGGACCCTCGGAAGTCACCAGACCACATTTTGAGAACCACTGTATGTACTAGATTCTGTTCTAGGTAGAAGCTGGGGTAATAGCAACGAATAAGATATCCTCTCCATAGGGAGATAAATATTCACGTGGTGGCAACTCTGATCAGTTCTAAAACGGAAGAGGACGGAGCGTTGTGAGAGGGTACGGAACGGAGACCTATCTAGTCTGCCGGGCCAAGGAAGTCAGCTCCAGGAAAGTGATCCTTAAACTGCGACCTGCTGAGTAGGAGTCGGCCGTGGGCGAGCGGTGTCCACCCGACCGCTTCTCCTTCCCGGCTGCCTCCCCAAATCCCGGGATAAGAGGGGTGGATGGGAAGCGGCAGTGGCCACGATCCCCCCGTAGGCGGCGGGCTCTGAACTACGCAGGATGAATCCGCAGGGCAGCCACGCTGTCGTTCCACACCACCAGAGTCCACAGCACCGCCAGCGCCAGGGCGGCGCGTGGGACCCGCATCGATCCGGTCCCTCAGGGTGCAGTGGAGGGAGGTGGGCGGACTGCCCGCGGTCCCGCAGTGAGCGGTGGCCTTAGGAGGGCCAGGAAAGTGCCCCTCTCCGTGCGGTCTCGAGCATCACGGAGGCAGCTCAAAGGAAAGGGAGATCTTCGAGGACGAAGTGTAAGAGGGACTGGCCCGAGCAACTACCTCAGGAGGACCCAGAGATGCTCGGGATCGCTGGGCTGCCGTCGAAACCGGGACTGTCAGTCCTTCCATTGGTCCACAGGCGGCCAACCTCTGCGCGCAGGCGTGGCGAGCTGCTTTTCCTGCGCGGACTCTCGCGCCCTCCGGCGGCCTCTCTCGAGAACAACGCTTGTGTTTGTCCGGCGGGACGCGAATAAAGATTTCTTCTTCAAACAAACAGGAAGTGCCTACGGAGGCCGAGCGGGCGGCGGGGCAGGGGTCGGGCATGAAGCCGGGCGGAGGCCCGAGCGCGAGCGGCGGCGGCGATGAGCGACATTGTGGAGAAGACGCTGACGGCGCTGCCGGGACTTTTCCTGCAGAGCCAGTCCGCTGGCGGGCCCGCGGCCGCGAAGGCGTCCTTCTCTTCGCGGCTGGGCAGCCTCGTCCGCGGCATCACTGCGCTCACCTCCAAGCACGTAGGTGCCCGCTGGGCCGGGAGGTCAGGGGCGCCAGGGGGAGGCGCCCGCGCTGGGCGGCCCTGGTCCGGCGGCGAGCCTCGGGGTTGGCCCTCCCGCGGGGCTCAAGGACTGCGTGTGTGTTGGTTCGTCCTTGTGTCTGTCTGGAAGCTTCACTTGCCTGCCCAGACTGACGCCTCGGAGGCCAGGTTTCCACAGTTGGCTCTGACCCTGACTCGTTATTATCTGGGGCGGATCTCTTTGATCTTTGATCCTCCTTGTATTTCCTGAACGTTGAAGTGGAAGAGTACCAAAGCATATTTCATAGGTTGTTTCGACGATTAGATGAGCCATCAAGCGTGTGAAAATACCAAGTGGAAGTGTCAGCATTATTCACCTTCTGCAAAGTTTCTTTCGCTCCTCAAATTCTCTCTCTCCCCCGGTTCTCTCAACTGCTGGGTGTCGCACACCGGAACAGACCTTGCCATCAGAACTTGTTGTCGAATATCTTTGGGGAGCTTGAGGTTCTTTAACCTAGGTTAGACCAACGGATGGGGCAAAGAAAAAGTATTAACTCTCCCAAAATGTCAAATTTGCTGAGTAAGTCTCTGCCTCAGATGGGCTTCGAAAGTGAGCAGTTGTCATAGAAATTAAGTTCCCACAGACTTTTAGTAGTTGCACGAATTGTGTAAGAACCTAATTCAAAGCTTCATGGAGTTCATATCTTGAAAAAAGATCATGTGTTATGTCATAGTTTGTTCAAAAGATATTTATGGAAGAGGTTATGTGTTAAACACTGAGGAAATAGAGTAAAACCTTTCCTTTTCTCAAGGAATTGATCATTCATCTTGGGCTTAAGACAAGTATAAGCAGTATACAATGAAGTATAAGTACCAGGAAAGAAGAAAACACAGAGAAGGTTTTTCTTCAAAGTGCTCTGAGGGTTTAAAATATTCTTTTAAAACAGAAATAAGATGCTGTACTGGAGAGGGTCTGCTTCACATTCAGAAATCATTATTTGTGGACTTAGTATTGTTTGTCTTAACATTTGTCCTTCGCTAATTTTTTGAGAGGCTGAATGAAATTTAAAAAAATTATTCTTTTAAAATAATTAAATTGCAGTTTGAAACTGTACATAAAGTGTGTAAATGTGGCAGTACTTCACTAGTAGTTCTTGATTAGCCACTTAATGGACATCTGCTAATTCAATGTATAATGTAAAGAGAGCATTGTATTAGCCAAAAATGGGGCCAATTTTCAAGTGCTTAAGGAGATGAAATACATTGCAGACAGTAGAAGTGACCACCTTGGTGTATGTGTTATGTGTGTGAGAGAGAGATGGGAAGTGAGGGCAAGTATTTGAGGAATGAGGAGAAAAGGATAGGGAAGAAGAATATGGTTTAAGGGAAAAGAGCGATTTCTGTTTCTGCCTTCTTACCATATTTCTCTATTCCATGAAGACATTTTACTTTTAAGTGTGAGAACCTTATCCTGGGCCAGTACATGAAGAATTTCTTTTCTGCTTTCTCTCCACCATTAATTTTTTTTTAAACCATTTTCTGCTAAACCATCCTTTAGGGGACAGTAACAGTGAAGAAAAGAGGAATGGTGGGTTAGCCTGGGAATATTTATTCTTTCCAGGAATGATTCTGAGGGTTGGAGAAATGCCTTTAGGCAAATGTTTAGCAGATAATTTTTTTTATTGATGTCTTAATAGTTTATAACATTGTGAAATTTTGGTTGTACATTTTTGTTTGTCGATCACCATATACATGTCTCCCTTCACCCCTTGTGCCCACCTCCTACCCCCATTGCCCCTGGTAACCACAATACAGTTTTCTCTGTCCATGTGTTGGTTTATATTCCACTTATGGATGAGATCATACGGTGTTTGTCTTTCTCTTTCTGGCTTATTTCACTTAACATAATACCCTCCAGGTCCATCCATGTTGTTGCAAATGGGACGATTTTGTCTTTTTTTATGGCCAAGTAGTATTCCATTGTGTATATATACCACATCTTCTTGATCCAGTTGTCAGTTGAGGGACACTTGGGTTGCTTCCATTTCTTGGCTATAGTGAATAATGCTGCAATGAACATAGGGGTGCATAAGCCTCTTTGGATTGTTGATTTCAGGTTCATTGGATTAAGTAGATAATTTTTGTAACTCTCCTTTAAAATAATGTTTCTTTTTTATTGAAAGTATTATAAAATTATATTTTTCCTTTAACAAATACTGTTATAGTTTAAAAAGATAGTTATTCATGCATTTAAATATTTTCGCTTTTTCAGGAGGAAGAGAAATTAATCCAGCAGGAATTGAGTAATCTGAAAGCAACTGTTTCTGCTCCTACTACAACACTGGTATGTTTGCATAGTCAGTGCCAGCACATTTTGAATTTGAAATCTGGTCCATTATGGACTTGATCTAATTGATCAGTTGCTAAAATCTAATTTATCATAGTCAAAATCGGTTATGGATGGTAGCAAGTCATACGTTAACTTTAGCCTTTATTATTGACTGGCTGTACTGGAGCAAGACTTGGTTGACTGATGTCAGTTCAGTGCCAATGTGATGATAATTACATAAATGTGTCAATACTCCTGGGACTCCACTCCTCATATTATTGTTTTAATGTTGTACACTGGGAAAAGTTTAGAATATATCACTTAAAACAGTATTTTTGGGGCTAGCCTCAGTGGCCTAGTGGTTAAGTTTGGTGTGCTCTGCTTTGGTGGCCTGGGTTCAGTTCCTGGGCACAGACCTACACCACTGGTTGGTGGCCATGCTGTGGTGGTGGCCCACATACAAAATAGAGGGAGATTTTCAACAGATGTTAGCTCGGGGCCAATCTTCTTCAAGCAAAAAAGAGGAGGATTGGCGATGGATGTTAGCTCAGGGTGAATCTTCCTCAGCAAAAAAAAATGATATTATTTTTGGACCTGCATTGATATATTGTAGATCTCTCATTTTAGTATTATAGTATAGGTTGGCTGACAAGGTAGAAAAATGGTTTTATTGCTGTAAAACTGAGTATATTGCACAACAGCTAAATCAAGATCCAGTTTTTTAAAAAAATTGGTTCCATATAATTTGATTTTTTGAACAGCATTCATTCAGCAACTATTTAATGAGTGGCCACTACATGCAGGCCACTCTGAGACCTTCCCTGCATAGTTAGATTAAGACCTCATTTTTTTTCTTTTAATTTTCATGTGGTTTCATATAATGAGATTTTTCCAAGCAACATTTATTCAGCAAGTATTTAGTGAGTGCCTTCTGTGTCTAAGTCACTGTGGGAATGTTCTTCTAATAAAAATATTGGGGTGATCATTTTGTGTGAACACATGATCATGTATGTGAATAACACTTGTAAAGTCTGAGAAAATGTATATATTTCCTTTTATGATCATAATAACGTGTGGACAAATGAAACTGAAAACATAGTTAATCTGATATATTTACGTGTATATGTGTGTACGTGTATAGATATGTATATGTCTGTGTGTATATCTAAAATCATTGTGCTTCATTATACTTGATAGAAATCTTAAGCAGAAATGGTTTCTCTGTTTTTGTTTTGTTTGATTTCCATTTTCTGTAATTGGCATCAGTAAATACAATTTTTCTTGCCACCGGCATAAACCTGGTGTGGGCAGAACTTGGATAAATAGGTAGAAGTTAGGGAGCCAGAGTTTGGAAGGAAAATTTTATAATAGTTATGGCCATCCAGCTCTGGGCATACTTTACAGAGGAATCTGGTGGTCGTGTAGAGGTTGGATGACAGTTTGTTAGAGATATTGTAAAGTGAATTCCTGCTTGGGAAAGGCACTTTCTTTTGCAAAAATGAGAATAATAATGTATGCAAGATAATTTTACTTAAAGTTCATAATGACTTTTGAAAAAAACTGAGATAAAATGTTATAAAACCAGAGTTGATACTTAATGGCTTAAATGAACTCTTTCATTTTAGTTGATGCAGAAGCCTTTGAAGAGGGACTTCCAGTATTGTTTAAGCTTGTTTTCTCAGTATTTAGTAGTCTTAATTAATGTGCTGTTGAATTAACTTTGGTTACTGTAAATGCAAGCGACCTGAATTGTCTTATTCCCCTAAGATTTTCCTATGGTTTCTTTTTAAACTCTTCATATTTACACACACACATATATATGTATGTGTATATATATATGAATGAAATATATATGATGAAACATTAAACGTTATTATGCTTACTTTAAAACATTTTATTTTGCTGTTTTCTAAGCATTTTATGATTTACTAATTCTGTAATATACTAACCCTAACCAATTTTTAGATATTAAAATAGTCTGTGAGCTTTTCTTATTTTGAAACACATTTTATTTATATTTTTTATTTCAGATTAAGGTTTGCTGTAAATATTGAAAATGCAAATATTATCATACTAATAAAACAAATTTATGGAATCTCCTAAAACAACTTATTAGCTTCTGTGGTAAATATTGAAAAACCCAGTTAAAAAATTAAATATTGAAATGGCTATACCATTAATGAAATCATGCCCTTCAGTTCATAATAATTGTGGAAGTTGTTGGAAAGAATTCCTATAAAGCAAACTTTTGCGTATTATATAAAGCATAATAATTCTGAAGAAAGTCCAGGTGCAATTTGGTTTTTAAATGTGAAAAATATTTTCATTACAGAAATTATTACTGACTTGTTGGAATTTTATGGGTGTTTTCATTTGACAAAGTATATTACAATGATGTGCTGCATTCTAGAAGCCAAGTCAGATTACTGTAGGTGAAATTGTGTCTGAGGACCCTGTGTCTCACATTATAACCAAATTTTACACAGCATGCACCTAGAATTAGAAGTAGTTACAATTGATTTGTTTTATAGTGTTGTCACTAACAAAATATTGAAATAATTTTACTAAAATCAATACTGTTGGTAGTTAAGTTTGGGAGCAACTTTTATTCATAAAGTCTGACTTTGGATGATTAATTTATAATATATATTTGTTATCTTTTCAGTGCCAGGATTAAAGGATCCCCCTGTTAAATGATTACAACATAATAAAAAAAATCAAAATATTTTATTTATCTTTATAGTTACTGGATATTTTGCTTTTCAGAAAATGATGAAGGAATGTATGGTGAGACTTATATATTGTGAAATGCTTGGATATGATGCTTCCTTTGGCTATATACATGCAATCAAGTTGGCACAACAAGGAAATCTTTTAGAAAAAAGAGTAGGTATGTATGTATTTAAGACTTTTATATGTAAAGTTGTCCTTCAAGTTCCAGCTACTATACAAAATACATGATGGCATGTTCATATTATGTTTTTAGAACACTGCCGTGTAATTTCCAAAGCTTTAAAAAATAACACTTCAAAAACTCAAAGCCTATAAATGAAATCAGTTTTCCTGATTCATAGCATTTTGGAGTTGTAGAGAAGATTGAAAGTTGCGTGTTCTTGTGATGGTGGTTAAATGACTATATATTTATCAAAACTCATTGAACTATACACTTAAAATCGGTGAATTTTCTTGTATGTAAATTATACCTCAATAAAGCTGATTTTAATAAGTCTGACCTCATCAGTTTAATGATCAGAAATGTTTCTTAATACAGTGAAACTGAAATTGACTTGAATAATTTTAAATTTCCTGTTCTCAGTTTCACAAATGTTAGCTATGAGGATTAGAGATATCTTTTTAAAAATTTTGTCTCTATAATCAACCTTTAGGGCTATTTGGAAAAATCCTTTCAAGGACCTCAATATTCTATTCATATGGGTTCAGCTTTATATCAGAATCCCAAGGAGGAAACACTTTAGAATAATAAAGGAGTAGAAGATATTCTTTATTCAAAGGAGTTGATAGTGTCATGTTGTCAAGGACCAGCATTCTTCACAAGTTATATTGACCTTTGCTGTCAGATGATGGGCTGGGGGTGGGAGATGTCTTGGTAAAGATTCAGAGACTATATGCACACAATATTCCACTTGTTGAAACTCACTCCACCCAAAATACTCTTCTATTTTCTAGATTTGTTGTATTCTTCCCTCCAAGTAGTATATCCTCTGGCATCCTGTCTCTCCCTTTCTATATTCCAAACCCAAGTTTTAACTCTTCTGTGATCACTCAGATGACTCCTCCCATCTGTTATCTTATGCTGTTATCTTTGCATATATTAATGTCTTAGCTCCCAAACCAATTCTAAGATCCCTAAAGGCAGGAAATTTGGAAACAATAGATAGTCAGTAAATATTAGGTGATTGGTGGGGTAGTTATTTTGTACAACTATTGCTGTATTCTGCTTCTTAGACTCTCATGTAATTCTTTTCATTTTCAATTTAATTTTGTTTTTAAAATATGTAAAGTGTTACCTGGTTCAAAAGTTAAGACTTCATAAAAAGATATAATCAGAGAAGTCTCACTTGCGTCTCTAGCCTCTCTGCCCAGTTTGCCCGAGACCCCCATAGGTAACTATTTTCATTAGTTTCTGATTAATCTTTCCATTGTTTCTTGTTGAAAAAACAAGCAAATGCATGGATACACACTTGCACAATCTTTCTGACACAAAAGATAGGGTGCTATATAGATTATTCTACACCTTCTTTTGACATCTTCAGACTTCTGTACAGTTGCATGGTTTTCTTTGGGTGGATGGATACCAGTCTTTTCAACTACGTCTGTATTGGTGGGCATGTGGATTGTTTTTTAGTTTTGCTCTTATAAATAACGTTGCAATGAATAACCTTGTACATGTGTTACTCATAGTTAGGGAGGCTTATCTTAAAGAAGACCCCAGAGTCATTTTTATTGAAATTCATGATCTTCCTTAGGAAAATATTTTATTGTCAACTAGAGAGATATATATACCTGCAGGTGTCAGATATTCTTTATATGTGCTAATGAGCAGGAATTGTTGTTGTTATGTTTTTTTTTTGGTGAGCTAACATCTGTTGGTAATCTTCCTCTTTTTTTTTTTTTTTTTGCTTGAGGAAGATTAGCCCTGAACTAACATCTGTGCCAGTCTTCCTCTATTTTGTATGTGGGATGCCTCCACAGCATGGCTGATGAGTGGAGTAGGTCCGTGCCCGGGATCCGAACCCGTGAACCCTGGGCCGCGGAAGTGGAGCATGGGAAACTTTAACCACTCAGCCACAGGGCCAGCCCCCTGGAAGTTGTTTTTCTAAGAGAGCATTTAAACTGTTTATGTGTCTCTACCCTGGTACTATTGCTTCATCCACTCTCCTGAGATTTCTGAGCCTAGCTTTGGTGCTTTCTCTGATGGAGAATACCCTGTTACTTCTTATATGAATATTGTTGAATAGATAGATTTCAGTACCCATTAAGTCAGGCATTGTGTTAGGTGCTTTATCTTGTGAGATAGTATTTCATTTTACAGGGGAGAAAACTGAGGCTCAGAAAGGTCGAATCACTTGTCTAAGGTCATAGAGATAATAAATGGTGG